GTAGGAGCAAAGTGCATGCACACAAGGACATTACTGCAGTAACAAGCTCATCACTGGCAGCTTTTTGTATGACTGCACCTTCATAGGGTCATTAGGGTTACAAAACCAACCAACTAGTGTCTTTTTTTTTTGTCAGGCAGAGAAGTAAAACAAATGCTTGCTCTGACAGCTGTGGGCTTCGGCTGTTTCAGATAATCTGAGCACTCACCAGCAGGCATTAGTGTCCTTTCTCAGCTGTCAGTCATTAAAATTAATAGATAGAGACACTACACCTTTACTGAATAAATGAGTGCTTGTGCTGAACAATAACAGTGTAGCCCAGTGCAAAAAGAAATCTTTGCAGGAAAATTGCCAACCCCATAGGAAATAATGTTTCATTGTCTGTTTTTTTTTACGATTAGAAATGTTTGCTTGTAGTACAAGTGTATTTGCATGATTTTTATCTCCTGTTGCCAAAAGGCGAAGGATAACAAAGTTTGTGTCTGTATTTGTGTGTGTTTGTGAGCCTGTCTGTTACCAGAATATCTAATGAACCACTGGAAAAGTTTAGTGAAACTTTCAGAAAGTAATCATTTACTTTCTGAGAGTTTCATTGGTTTCATCTGATTAAATTTAGAGTCATCCTAAGTGAAGATGGCTAACAACAACTTTGACTCGTTTAATTTTACAGAAATGGTAGATCCTGGATGGATTTTAATGACACTTTTCAGAAATAACCAGTGGGTGTACATCTATAATTGATTACTTTTTTGTAGCCAACCCAATGGCCAAGAAGGGGGTCTCTATAGTCACTATGTGGGAGTTTATTGGTGTGTGGGAGGAGTTTGTCAAAGACGTGATTGGTTTGTTTGACTTTAGTGGGAAGAAGTGATTTGTTGGATTGACTATTTTGTGCGGGGTTTGAAGAATCTGGGGGCAGCTGGGGGATGTCTAGCTTAGTTTAAACTGCCAGGAAACAAATATATTATAAAATATAAATATTAATTTGAGACAAGAAGGTGCTAGCCACGCAAAATTTGAATGCCGGACACGTGGAGGGATGTGTAACAATTTGACTTGGTCAAAACAAACCCTAATGCCTGGAAAAAGATAGCTATTTTTGAAAAAAGAATATTAATTATTATTGGTCATAACTGGAAAAGATTGGCTTCTCGTCAACCTCCACAATAGTCTGATAATCAGCCACTGTCTCCTTTTGCTCTGCTGGGAGCACTTCCTAATGTCCAGTTAAAACAAGTTTGTATTGTTTCAAGGGTGTTCAGTGTTTTTTAATGAAGGTCTTAGAACATCTGACAGTGTCTGTTATTTAAAAAAAAAAATCAGTATTGGTCAAAATCAGAATTGTCAGGTCAGACTTTGTAAAGATTGGTGATTGGCCAGAAAACTGCCATCAGTGTACCTAATTCTTTTAGTATTCATATGTTAGATTTTCTGTATATAACTCGAGTCTTTTTACTGAGATGAGCAGTTATGCATGTCTAGATATAACCGTGAATAAATGTATTTTTCTGATAAAGTACTTGAGCCAAATAAGAGTGAAGTGGAGCAAGTTGGTTAGTACGGTCAAAAAAAAAAAGGTTATCCACATTGGTTTTTACCCACAATACACCGACTGAACTCAAGGAAATCAAATCAGCAAGGAGACTCAATCTGGCAGATGAGACAGTCTGTCTCAGAAGGGCTTCTGCTGGGTTATGAAGCCGTGTGGAGGATGGAACAAAATCACATTGCATCTGTGCAGTCAGAGACTCGTGCAGCCGAGGAATCCAAAAGAAAGACTCTAGGGCTTGAACTAATGCCGGGTGTGCTAAATGAAATGCCAGGTATGACAAAAACTGCACAGGCCTGTGGAGAAAAGCTCTGCATTATCATCCTGTGGCTCCAGCATCCCCACATGTGTCTGTGGAAAGTCCTGAGCCTGAGGTTTAGCTCTGCTCTTCTCCCAACAGCACGTCTGGTTTAACACTGATTAGTCCCCAGGATGAATACATGGAAAGAGAAAAAAACAGACATCTCTCTACAAGGTTTGTGTTTTCTAGCTTCAAATGAAGTAGTCCCTCAGCTCTCCGCATCATTATTTTCCCACCTGTCTGAAAGACAAGTCTATAGAAACCTGATTTTTCTTGAGTAGAGCAGCACCGAAGCTTCACTCAACAAAAATCATTCTGTGAAGAGTTTTGGGGTTAATTTTGACTTCTGTTGCATACCTTTAGGAATATTTTCTAAACTTTTACTCTTTTGCGTTGTTCTGAAGATGTGCTGAAGTGGGAGTGTCAGAAACAGTAGGAGCTTCTTAAAAAGACTGAGACCAAAGTCATGCTTATTTTTGTTGTATGCAACTTTTTCTTAAAAACTGAAGGTAACAGTTATTTGATTGTATAGAATTGAACTATGTACCTGGAAAAATACATACCCCCCACACCAAAAAATAAAATGAAATAAAACATTTAATGAGCATATATAACTGATTAATTTCTGGAGTTTACCCATTTCAAGATGGCCACCAAGCTAATCAATTTTAGCCAATACAATACAATTATCATCGAGTAGACATAACATATGTATTTATGTATAATACGATCTTGAGTATAATATGATCATAACTTTTGTGGATTAAAAATCGTAAAAAAAATCTAATCATCAATAACCCATGTATAATACTATTTCCCTATTTTATGGATGATTTTTAGGGTTAAATTTCCAGTATTATACATGAATAAATACAGTGGTCATTTGGCTCGTGTTCTAAAGATAGCCTGAGTGAAGGTCCCCATTGAGTCACATACTTAACACTTAATATGGCTGCCACAAGTAGTTGACCATTTTCAACACAGCAATGAATATAACATACTCAAAATTAAAGTTTATGTGGTAGTAGCTGAGAGTCATCCTTAACACTGTGAGCTTTACCACAGTTAGTGAGTTGCCTGTGATAGACTGCTGGGGTGGTCAGCTTGAATTGAAGCTGGCACAAAATTTGACTTGAAGACATGCTAGTTCTTTATTTAAAAAAAAAACTTTCATTGACTACTAAAGCAGGGTTCACTGTAATTTATATGTTGCTGTGACAACTGTGGGTGCAATCGACAACCCAATGGAAGCTTTATACCCTTTATATGTGTTACCTGTCATAAAAATGGCACATGCTGGGATTAGAAAAGGCTTTCTTTCCCTCTAATTCAGGCTACTTGAGTGTTGTTGACGATGCTTAGCTGCAGTTTCTGTTCCTCATGTTGCTTTAGTTTTCATTTGACGGAGAGCATCATCTATCTGGTGTCTGTGCAGGTGGTCTGTTGGGAACGCGATACCCCAAGGGAAAGCCAGGCAATTTAAATTCTTTTAGCGGAGCAAGGGACACAAGAGATCATTTCAGAATGACAAAACTTAATGAACCGTGAGTAGATTAATGCAACCATACCCAGAAAATAAAAATTGCACTCTGACTGATTCTGAAATGACCTTCTCCGTGCAGTCGTCATTTATGCTGCTCTTTAAATGCACTGACTGAGAGCAATCACGCAGAGTGCATCTAATACGTTTTCCTGCCAGTTTAGTTTCATCTCATTATGTCCTGGGAAGTTACTTCTTGTACAGAAATTATTGTGTGACTTGTGATTAGTAAGAATGAAAATTGGGTACAAAAATCAGTGTGTAATTGAAAAATGTTACCCTTAATAGAAAACAGATAAAGCTGCATGTTTATTACAAAATGCAATGCAGTAAAAGCTGAAATAAATGAGTGCCTATAAATGAAATATACCCTGAGATCTAAAAATATGTAAAACTATTTGCATTGGGTTTAAATATGTTTGCATTTAGTCATAATAGCCTAGATGTGCACTGCTTTCCATAAAAGGGAAAAAAAAACAGAAAGCGTTTACATGTATGAATCACATTCTTTATGCATTTCTACGGCAACAATTTTGATTTAAATTGATATTCAGCTAATTTATAAATCAATATCAGCCTACTCCTTTTGTTCAACACAAGGCAGCATGTTTGCATTGTGTTAAACAAAAGGAGCGCGCTGCACAGTCCTTGTTTCGCTCAGTTCAATTAGGTCAATAAAGCATGTCCTAGCGAGAAAGATTTGACACTACGTCCTCCTCGTCCTCCTTTTCTCCTCCTAAGATGGGAGAAAATGTCAACTCTGTAAAAGCTTGGCGATCTGGGAGGCAGCAGAGAAGTCAAACATTATTCCATCAGGTGGAGTAAAAAATCATGTGGTTTTCTTAGCAAATAAAATACATGGTTATTACAAATCTCAGGAGTGTAATGTTGACTTGAGTAAGCAGTTTAATTGGTAATTTTATTCTGCTTGTTTTATACAACCAGTACTCCCATGGCATACTAGTTTGAATTACTACAATGACAGGACCCAGATGGGTATTTGAAATGAAAACAGTAAATATTTGATTCTTCTTTGAATATTTGACCTACTCATCCCTGTCTCTTCTTCTCTTCTTTTCCTCCAGCTACTGCTTATAACATAATAAACACCAACTTGCAGCTATTTACTCTTCTCACAACACGTGCATTTCATTCCTTCCTAATACAGGGCTTATTAATACAGCACAAGTGTCAGCACAACAAGTGTTAAAAACAGACAGTCACGGCCTCTTTGTTGTTTTGAATTTGCCTTTTTTAACTAGACTGAATATTTAAAAATCACTTCGCATCCTGAGGCAGAACAAGTTGTGCTGAGAGCAATCTCTCTTGTGCAAACTTTTGTACTTTATGTACTGTTTATTCACATGCAAATGATGATTTATGTCTGTGGCTTTCACAGGCATGTTTGAATGAAACTGTGAGACACATCATAAGTAATGTGACCAGTGACCAAAGATTGTTGCTTCACTTTCACAAATCAGATATTCTGTCTAAAACCTTGTTTAAGATTTTCTTCCTGCAGATATGCAAACCCTACATGCTTTAAAGGGGACATATGCAAAACCTAAATTTTTAGCTTTAAATACGTTTTGTTGTTTACTTAATCTCTA